CCCCCCCCCCCCCCCCCCCCCCCCCCTTATATTTAGAAATCAAAATTTATGATTGTGAACCTGGGACAACTGTCTGAAGGAAAGGTACTTCTGCATCTCTTGTTGTAATCTGCAATATGATGGAAAATCCCTTGGGATCACACTGTGATGTATAGTGTGTAGTTTGAAAGCAAACTGAAGTTGCTCAAAGAACCAGATAAGAACTTTTAAAGTCAGAATAAGAATTCAAAACAAACCTTTGCTTCTGTTCTAGTATCTTCTCAAGAGCCTTAACCTCCACTTTGTCAAATCCAGAGAAAACCCTTATCCAGCCTGTCACCTTATCTTTGATTGAATAATCACTTGGAAACAATGATAAACATAGAATGGGTTCAATTGTGTCTGATCTGCACGGAAAGAACCAGGCTCCAATATAGTATCAATGTTAGTGTCTGCTGAAATATTATATCTTTTTGAACTTGACATAGTAAAATGCCTTTTCCAGGAGCTAGTCATCTAGTTGGGATTTGTTTAATGACGTTAATTATATTTATCCAAAAAATTTCCATCCTTAAGCAACAAATAAAATCACTCAATAAAAAAATAAGTTACCTGAAATCTTTATCATAAAAACATCTTAAAATCTTCCCAACAATCCAATCATATTCATCATTCTCTGTTGATACAGGGGAGCGGTTCAAGCAATAAACTCGGAATATATCAGCTAGCCTATCCATTGTGTACCTTTTAACAAGAAACTAGATGTATGCAGAAGAGATTATCAGAATCTGAGCAAGGCATGTCGCAGATATTAAATGACAAAGCAAGCACAGACTGTTCGTGCATACAGATTTATCTCGAAGGCGTTCCGCAACCAGCTTGATAGTTCCAACAGGTACAGATGTTAAGGAATGGCATGCCACATCACAAACCACAGAAACAACTTGTTTACGGACATTTTCATCATAGTCCAGCAGTCGGTCACAAAGCGCAGCTAGAATGCAAACCATGTCAGGTTAAAGACATGAGGAGTGTCTACTAGATAACTATTTAAAAGTCTTACAGATAATTTGCTGAGACTCAGCTCTAAAAGGATTTGCCAGCAGACAACTTTTGACATGCTCAAGGACAGACATTCTGACCTCCACAACTCTATCAGTCACCCTTTTCAGAAATTCCAAAAACATTGGCTGGAATGCTTCAGAGATAACAGATCCTGGCTGCGCAAAAAGGTCCCCAACTAAGCCAACTGCTTTTAAACGAGTGTCCAACTGATCAGTCTGTAGATACCAAAACTAGGAACTCAGAATTTTTACAAACAATTAAGCTATAAAGAGTTGAAAGCAACATTTTTTTCTAGAGAATATACAAAAAGTGAGTTTGGAAACCAGCTTGTCCATGTTGATGTTGAGTAATGGACCACAGAAAAAGTAAAGAATTACCAGCTGATGTATTTTTTCTTAAAATGTCTTTACAAAGCAACTCTTAACATGGATGCAATATTGCAACACCTCAACAATAAAAGATGGTTCGTAAATTATTAATATTTATGATATAATTTTCTCCGACGAATAGATAAATGAAATAGTAGTGAGGTAAATTCCGTGTCTTCATTGACGTGAATGGTGTTCCGGCTGCTCCGATCAGTGTTTGCTACCTGCAAAATGAGGTTGGAGCTTTCTCTCCCGTTGTATCTCCAGCGTGAGAATTAATATACGGTTTAAGAGTGTAGGAAGAGAATATAATGGAATTCAAATATTTTCGAATTTTCAAGAAGAACCAACATTTTCTCACATTGGGGTATTTTTATAGGCACCTGATGACGTGCCTCCATTCCATGACTAATTGTGCCACGTGTCCCATGTTCTAGAGTTGTGACCCCCACTCGCCAAGCGGTTAGTTGCCCATGCCCGTAGTTGGGTGGTTTTCGTCTATCTCATGGCCATTTATTTAGCTAAGTATAGTGGGGGTCAATGGCCTTATAGTGGTAGGCGGCCTATGTGAACGTAGGAGGCCTCATGGGGGTCGACATCCTCATAGTGGTAGATGGCCTATGTTGTGGTGCTCGACAGGGGAGTGCATATTAAGTAGCCGGCCATCGTAGAGAAATGTTAACACCATCTTATATCACTAGTCCCTCTGTCTCTTGTCGATATTTATCGATGGGAGGTAGCCTTTTTTTATGCAGAACAGAAGTTATAGGTTTACAAACGTAGCAAAAGACCAAAATAGACATCCACTAAATCAAAGCAACTAAAAACGGAAAAACAAAAAATAACGCTAAAACTTCAACGGCTTGGTAATGCGCCTTAAACTGAGAATTTGAGGCTTGAAACGACATCAACCGGGTAACCCGGGTTGGGACGGTATGGACCGCTGAGAGACGTTTCCGAAAACATATTATAATAGAAAATCTGACACTAGTCAAGAAGTTATGCCCTTTTCTCGGAACAGCTCTTTTAGCCAATTTTTGGTGACAACAACTAGGGTAAACCGGGTTGGGCCGGCATGGAGCGCTGAGAGACGTTTTCGAAAACATATTACAATAGAAAATCTGACACTTGTGCAAAAAGTTATGCCCGTTTCTTCGAAACAGCTCTTTTAGCCAATTTTTGGTGACATTGCACGTATGGCATTCCATAGATGGTTTTCACTATTGGGAGGGAATTCCCCCCCAAAAAATTCAAAATTTCCACCACTTTTTAAAGAGTTGTGGTGGCTCCCATTTACTCCATTTTGTTAAAATCAACTTCTTCAAGGTAATCTCCTCCCCCCCTCTTTATTCATCTCGTATTTTTAATCATGTATAAAACCATTATATCTTCTTCATCAGACGAGAGCGATGGTGAGGGAATGAAAAAATCGTTCAACCAGCCAGTCGGCTGGTCGACTAACAAAGCTGGTCGACTGATCAACCCAAGTCGACCAGCTTGGCTGGTCAACGCACGTCGACCAGCCAAGGATTTGGCCGAATGCCAAGATGGTCAACTCACGTCGACCAGCCAAGAGGCTGGCCGACAGTCGACCGACCACGCCGATACCCCCGCCCATGACGTTCAAATATCCGATGACTCCGATAGCCAATTCCACCCGATTGAGTTTCATTCTTTCCAACCGAGTTCTCCCAAAAGACATCGATTTGACCAAGTCTTTAAATCAAAATTTAGAGATAGAGCTAGACGAAGTGATTCTTGAAATTCCAAGAGGTTATAGTCTTTACAATTCCCCATCCAAATTAGAGAAGTCACTAAGAAAATACGAGTGTGTGGATCAATACATGTATAGAGCCCCTAGGCATAAAGAAAGGCTTCCCGGGTCCGACCCACGTGAGGTCGCGGTATATAAAGATATCATGGATGGTGGTTTTTTATTTCCCATCCATCCTTTCTTCGTTTCGTTGTTCAATGAGTTTCACCTCACCCCTAGCCAAATTAATCCTAACGCATGAAGAAAAGCGCTATATTTCCTATACGTTTGCCTTAGCAAGAAAATTCCACTTTCAATGGACCTCTTTAGATGTGTTTTCGAGATGCATAAGCTTGTCCAATGCAATGCCTTCGTCTAATTTACCACTACGGTCTCATTGCGCTTTCCCATGTTTAGAAATTCCAACAGTGGGTAGAACTCCCAATTCTTCTTTGTTTGACCCAATGACGGTCAATATTCACCTTTTCAACAGTGAAGTCGAACTTACCCCTCTTCTAAAGGTTCAAATTCAGCAACTGATTGAAATTTCATCCCTTGCGCCCGACCTTAGGTCAGTTTTAACAATGAGGAACATGTTGCTAGTGGGAATCGGTCGTCCTACCGGTAGGTCCTTTTTCTTTGTATCTTCACATATGTGAATATCTCTATTTTGTTCTAATTTGTTGGGCTTGATTGTTTACGCACAGACATGGATTTTGACTTGGACGAAGTATTAAAGTCTCTACCCAAGCCTAGGAGCGATGAGGGTTTCATCCCTAATGACGGTAAGTTCCCGCATGTTTTGCCTATAGTTTTTCTTTTGTATATCTGATGACTCGTTGTTTTGTAAATTTGATAGACTTTACCTTGTGTGTGCAGGGATGGAGTTCAATTTTGAGGAAACCAAGGACTCATTGGCAAGGTGTGATCGCGAGAGTGGTGATGATTCACCTTCCATTCCGTTGAAGAGGAAGAAGACCAATGACGGGGAGTACTACGTCGTCCCACCGAAGAGGCACCTCAACCTTTGGTCTAGCCTGTTGAGGTTATTGCACCACCCGAGGTTGGAGGGGGCCGTTCAAGTAGTGTCGTGATCGAGCACGAGGGTTCTCCTCTTCCAGATTTTAGATTCCCCCCTTTCGGAGCAATTCAGAAATGATGGCAATCAAATCCTTGGTTACGCCTGGACGTGCCCGGGCAATTGCCGGGCGAAGAAGATATAATGGTTTTAGATTCCCCCATCGACCAGCCAAGTTGAATGACACTCAACCAGCTTAACTAGTCGACCGGTGAGGCCGGTATCGGTCTCGACCGACCCATCCGACGTTGGGTCGATCGATTTATTCACTCCCTCACCATCACTCTCGTCGGATGAAAAAGATATAATGGTTTTATACATGATTAAAAATACGAGATGAATAAAGAGGGGGAGAGGAGATTATCTTGAAGAGGAAGGAGTTGAAGATTTTGACAAAATGGAAAAGGAGTAAATGGAAGCCACCACAACTCTCTAAATAGTGGTGGAAATTTTGAAAATTTTGAATTTTTTGGGGGAAAATTTCCCCCCAATAGTGAAAACCAATTGTGGAATGCCACACGTGCAATGTTACCAAAAATTGGCTGAAAGAGCTGTTCCGAAGAAACGGGCATAACTTTTTGCACCAGTGTCAGATTTTCTATTATAATATGTTTTCGGAAACGTCTCTCAACGCTCCATACCGTTCCAACCCGAGTTACCCTGGTTGATGTAGTTTCCAGCCTCAAATTCGCAGTTTAAGGCGTGTTACCAAGCCGTTGAAATTTTAGCGTTATTTTTTGTTTTTCCTTTTTAGTTGCTTTGATTTAGTATATGTCTATTTTGGTCTTTTGCTACATTTGTAAATCTAGAACTTCCGTTCTGCATCAAAAAAGGCTACCTCCCATCGATAAATATCGACAAGAGGCAGAGCGGCTAGTGATATAAGATGGTGTTAACATTTCTCCACGATGACCAGCTACTTAATATGCACTCCCCTGTCGAGCACCACAACATAGGCCGTCTACCACTATGAGGACGTCGACCCCCATGAGGCCCCCTACGTTCACATATGCCGCCTACCACTATGAGGCCGTCGACCCTCACTATACTTAGCCAAATAAATGGCCATGAGGTAGACAAGAATCACCCAACATCAAACTCGGCCATGACCAACCGCTATGCGAGTGGGTGTTAACGCTACAGAACGTGGGGGAGTGGGAAGGCATACGTGGGACACGTGATTGGTGACATCGGCCCCCATGGGCCGTCTACCATTAAGAGGCCAGCGACGTCGACCCCCACTATACGTAGCCAAATAAATGGCCATGAGATAGACGAAAACCACCCAACAACGGGCATGAGCAACCAACTGTTTGGCGAGTGGGGGTCACAACTCTAGAACGTGGGGAAGGTGTACATGGGACACGTGGCACAACTAGTCATGGAATGGAGGCATGTCATCAGGTGCCTATAAATACCCCAATGTGAGAAAATGTTGGTTCTTCTTGAAAATCCGAAACTATTTGAATTCCATTATATTCTCTTCCTACACTCTTAAACCGTATATTAATTCTCACGCCGAAGATACAACGGGGGAGAAAGCCCCAACCTCATTTTGCAGGTAACAAACACTGATCGGAGCAGTCGGAACACAATTCACGTCAGTGAAGACACAGAATTTACCTCACTACTATTTCAATAAATATTTTTCTATGTCAGATTAGGACAAACAACTAAGTTCAACAACATTTTATCAATGACGTACATGAGAAACAAAGGAGACACAAAAAGAAGTTGTCAGTCATTACCAAGAGTTCTCCAGTTAGGAAAGGAATAACTCCCAATAATATTTGAGGGGCACAATGATAGATATCAAAGATGACTTCATGATAGTTAATCTGGCACTTCTTGGACCTGCTGTCTCCTGATATTAATGAAACAAGAAACTGCTTTATGCCAGGTTCGAGTTTCGCAGCGCAATGGCCTATCACATTCATAGCAAGCCTCCTTGCAGCCAATGTTACATCCTAGCAACAAGAAGCCCAAATTTTAATTATTTAAGAAACACGCCGGCATCCAAAGAAGCTGTAAACATAGAGGCAGCAGATGCTTACCCTTTTATTGCGACCTAAAACAGAAAGTAAAACAAGTAAAAGATCCTCCTGCACATCCTCACTTTCTTCTAAGAGAAGCTCCATGATTATTTGCATCGAAGCCAGAACATTTTCAGGATGCTCATCTCTGCACGCATATGATACTAGTCATGACAGCAAATTCACACTTTTCCATGCCTTGGAAACCAGTTATGTCATATAGAACCAAAGCTATCATTTAACTTTATGCATTATCACTACTAAATCATCCAAATTGATTATTCCAACAGAGCCGACCGACTTTATATCAACAATGATAATAAGAACTATGAAAAAGAAAGCCAACTTGGTTATTAAGTTATTGAATGTGGCAGATGTTTACCAAGGTGTTGCATATATGAATGTAAAGAAAATGGTGGAACATATTCTCCATCATGAAGTGCCAAGACCATTGATGTATATTTTCTTGGCACTAAGTTCAAAAGCCTCTCAAGGGTAGATGGAGGGTACAGAGTTTGGCAGCATCAAGATATTTTAATATTGAGATGAACCGTAAACAATCCAAAAAATGTTGAAATAACTATTCATGAGCTAATTTGTATGCCTTGACCAGTCTGAGCATGGATGACGCATTTCTGAGACGTTCAGTTTCTATTTATTTACCTTTTTCATTTTCCTTTTTTCAAGTCAAAGGAGAATAGAGAAATGGAGATATATAATTTCAAGCCTTCTATTCTCTACTAGGACTTTTCCTTCTCTATGGTCAAAAGAAAATAAATACATAAATAAATGCCTATAGACCTGCCTTAACCATTTCCAGGATGTAAGAATTTCTTCTATTAATATCATTTCCATCTCCATCATTTTCCCTTTTTTCTGGTGGTGGTTCTTTTTCTTTTTTCTTTTTTTCATTTTTGCTGGAGCAGTTAGAGGGGTTGGTATGGCCATTACACTGTCATGGTTTCCTCATGTTTCTGTATTCACTTTTCACAACGTTCTGCATATTCAGTCTATGAAAGGACACATTAACCTCTCGAGATTTTACGAGATTTTGTTCTAAATGACTTTCATGTTCAACCTAACTGTACCGATGAGGTACTGTAGCGACCGCGAACTTTTAGAATAAATTTAATTCAAATCTATTCGATCGAATTCGATCCCGAATAATAATTTTATTATCAATTTCGATTTATTTTATTTAAATCCAATTATTATTAATTTCGAGCCCAATTATTAAAATTTAACATTTTTAGTCCAATTACGTAAGCCCAATCTTTTAAGACCATTCAATTGAGCCCGATTTAATTTTAATTCCTTTACCCCAATTAAAACCCGAAAGCCCAAAAGTCTGGCCCAATAACCCGTCTAGGGTTTTGTGCCCTAATTCCACCCTTATTCATACCCCATTCCACTACACTCCACTCACACTCACTCTCCCACAAGCCAAACAGCCCCTGAGTAAGTTCTCTCCCGGTTTCACTGTTCATCATCACTGTTCATCATCACTGGACACTATAGTGGATGCTAAAACCAATTTTTAGCATCAACAATCAATCTGGAAACTCTTGATGATGCTAGAATGACAATTTCTAGTATCAACAACTTGTTAATTTCCACAAATTCTACAGCACAACCCCAACTCTTTTATGCAGCAACTATCATTCTGGAAACTCTTGATGATGCTAGAATGACAATTTCTAGTATCAACAACTAGGTAATTTCCACAAATGCTACAGCACAACCCCAACTCTCGACACTGTCAAGCTCAAACCAACAACTCACTGCAACAGCTCCAACCCGAGACCAACACTTCCACATTTCAGTCACCATGTTCATACAAAGCCAAAACCAAGTATTGTAGCTTCACTGCCAACCAAAAAAACCGGCAGCAAACCACCACCACCAACCTCCAGCAAGCAGTCATCCACCACATCCAAAAAAACACAACCTCCAAACCCGAAACCACCGCTCAAACCACGAACACCCATTCACCATTTTCACTCCCAAGTAACAACACCAAAACCGAGAGCACCTCCAACTCTCGAACCCAAGTCACCCACCAAAACGAACCCCAAGCTCACTGCACCTCCAAAACAGTCCACCAAAACCACCAACCACCTCAAGTCCCCAAAACCGAGAACACCACCTCCAAGCCGAAGCCAACAAACCCGTCACCCACACCGCTTGAAACCCGAAACCACAACCCATCATCAAATCAAACCCCCAAGCAAAACCCAAACCAAGAAAAGAAATCAAAACCCAAGAAATTTACCTCTTACCCGAGAGAAGCTTCGGTTTTCCCTCGATTCGNACACTGTCAAGCTCAAACCAACAACTCACTGCAACAGCTCCAACCCGAGACCAACACTTCCACATTTCAGTCACCATGTTCATACAAAGCCAAAACCAAGTATTGTAGCTTCACTGCCAACCAAAAAAAACTGGCAGCAAGAAGAAGAATGGGGAAGGGCGAAGCCCCTCCCGTCGTGCTCTCTCTCGAAGAAGAGAGAGCCTTTTCTCTTTTTATTTTTATTTTGTTTTGTTTTTGTTTTATTTAGTTAAGTATATATTTAGTTATTTTAATTATAGAAATGGTTAATTTAAGCCCCACGTTTTAAGTTCTTTTAATTTAGTCCCCTAATCTATATAAGTCATCATTTTAGTTATTTAATTTCATTTTCAGCTTTATTATTATTACTGTTTAGTCCCTAATCTATATAAGTTATTATTTCAGTATTTAAATTTTATTGCCAGCTTTATTATATTTACAGTTTAACCCCTAACTATTAAAAGTAATTATTTCAGCTTTTAAATTTCATTTTCAGCTTCAAAAGATTTACAGTTTAGTCCCCAGACTTTCAAAAGTTATTATTTCAGCTTTCAACTTTTATTTTCAGCTTTAATGAATTTCCAATTTAGCCCATAAACTTTACTTTATCATTTTAAGTCATTTATTTCAATTCCAATAATTTTCAATTAAGCCCTTAAACTTAATTTCAACACTTTAAAACTTTAAAATTCGAAATACTAATTCAAATTTATTTTCTATTGGCTAGACGATACGTACGAACAATTAGGAGCTTGAAGTTATTTTCCCGCTCCACTTTTCACGCAACTCGAAATATTTGAGGTAGACTCGCCACCATTAATTAGTTTAAATTATAATTGCATGCTTTATGTGAATTACGTGATTTATATGCTTTATGCATAGGATGAGAATGT